TGGTAAAAGATCTTCATAAAAGTATTGAATTAATGTTTGCTTACTTAATCCGTGTTGCGGACAACGTGCGCAAAGCTTTTTAAATCGTTCCAAATAGTCATAAAGACTTTCTTCGCTCTTTTACCGAATAGAAAGAATGATCCTTCGTAACTCGCTTGCTTTAGCCATTGGGAAGAACCTGTCAAGAAAACTTTGACTCATGTCAGCCCATGAATTAACTGAATTAAGAGGTAAATAAAATAATCAATCTTTAGCCAAGTCGGTCAAAGAGAAAGGGAAATCTCTTAATTTAATTTGATCCTCGGTAACTCTCTGTGGTTTCATGCTAGTGCAAACCACGTGGAACTCCAACAAGTGTTTGTGCGGATCTTCAATGGGAAAGCCATGGAAAATGGGAAGAAGTTGAATAAGTCCCGTCTTTAATTGAAACGGAGTCCCGCCATTAGGAAAATTGATGCATAATGACGTCTGAGTGACAGGAGCTACGGCTAGCTCTCGGATCGTTTGTTATTCTTCTACCATCGGGATTCGATCTTCGTTATATGTGTCTGCTTCAGAGTTTGTCTCCGGGTTTGATTCTGGTTTTGAACTCTAGTCTTGTTTTTCTTGTCTTTTTCTTTTTTCTCGAAGCATTTGTGCGTGGATTCTTCGTGCTCGTGGTTCAATCTCCAGGTCTATATCTGCTAATTCAACTGGGTTTCTTCTAGTCATAAATAAAAAAAATAAAAATAAATCATTACTTGCTATTAGTCCCCGGCAACAGCGCCAATTTGATATTATCGTTTTACTAACAAAATAATTTCGGTTTCTTAATAAATAGAAAGGAAAAGTAGTATAGAGAAGCATGATCGATCCACAAGGACTGTATTGTTTCTAATTTAGTGAAACTCTTTCTTGATTTAGAAGAAGATATAATTTCATATAAAGATGAGAAGATAAAATAAAATAAAATAAAATAAATAATTATAGAAAAGGAAAAATAATAATAAAATAATAAATAAAGATAACGCTAAAGATAAAAAGGGGTTTTAAAATTGTTTAAAGAAATAAAAAGATAAATATTAAATTAATAATTAAATAAATAAAATAAATTAGGATAAAGAAAACTTATGGTAAAAGCAACCTCAGACTTCAGCTTTGCCTCAAATTCCTCAGATCATCGAAACAAATCTTTACTTCAAGATTCTCGTTGGGTACTTGTCTACAATGACAATTCCTAGTGACTATGCTTTGTATACCAAATATCCAAGTGCACTCTTAAATTTCGGTTTGTGATTTTATCTAAGCAATAACAATGTTGTAGATCTTAAAACGTTGAAGTTCAGAAAAGTTGTTGACTCGGATTATGTTGTTCAACAATAACTGATTCCAATCTCAGTTTCCTTTTGGCAAACAATTTTGCTAAGTGTGTTCACAGGAAGTCGAATGTGCTTTAATAAGCCAATCCTTCTTCCCACATTAACCATAACAACATCCAGACCAACGTCGACTTTTGGTTTTGAAAATTGTTTTGATTTGAAAATAAGACAGGAAACATAGAGAAAAATCCGAAGAGATTTAAGTGCCTTACAATTCTCACGTTTGGAATTGAAAACAAATAAAAAAATTTGTGAAAAAGCTTGAAAGAAAATAGAGAGAATGTTAGAGAGAAAAAGAAGATTTAATTCTCATATGTGAGAGATGTTTCTAGGCTTACCATGAGAGGGTATTTATAACATTCAAAATTCTAAAAACAAGCTAAAGATAATTGCTAAAATAATGAAATAAATCCTAATTAAAACACTTAAAAACTATTTAAACTAAAATACCTAAAGATAAAGATAAGATACAATATAATAAAAATAATATCTTAAATCCTAATTAAAATACTTAAAACTATTTAAACTAAAATACATAAATATTAAATTAAAATAATATCCTAAAATATAATTTTAATTCAAAATCCGAATTGCAGAAACATGCGACTAATCCATTCATTCTTTTAGAAGCGCTGACTGGACCTTCTAGAAGGTGTTGACGTCATCGCCTCGCTAGATAGTTCATGCCCACCAGTCCAACTTTAATTTCGAAAATAAAAAAACTACAGAATTCCGTCCTTTTAGTGCAATTTCCAAAATCTAGTGTCATGAACAGAAAATGAATCAAAACAAACAAATAAGCCACAAAAACCAATGATTAAGGAGTAATTTAAAACAAAATATTAACTAAATTAAACACTTATCAAAAGTCACTCAACTATGTCTAAAGAACTGATTTGGTCATTAGAATTTTAAAAATTATAAAATATTTATTAACTTTATCAAAATGTTATGAAATTATTATTAAATTTTATTGAGTTGTTATAAAATGATCATTAATTTTTATCAAACTGTTATAAAATAATCATTAAATTATATTAAGTTATTATTAAATAGTCATTAAGATTTATTAAATTATTACAAAATAATTATTTAATTTATCAAACTTATATTTATTGTAATGTTATAGTGATCGTTTTATATTTTTTTATTAAGCTTAGGACGTTAAAATTTATGGTTAAATTATTTTACACTGGAAAATGACGTGTTATCGCTTATTGGTTTGTCGTCCTAATCAACTGTAAACCCAAAATATAAAAACAACAGTTGAACAAGACAACAAGTATTCTTTATTGAATGGGTAAAATAATTTTAGTTTTTTAATGTTAAAACAAAATAATGAATTATTTGATTCTGAGTTTTGATTAATTAATTATCAACGTATTAGTTTGATAAATTGAAAAATTAAATATGCATTTAAAAATATTAAATAATTAAACTTATATTAAGTATAATATATTCTTAAATTTAAGATATAATTAGACTCTTAGATAAATATAGATTTTAAAATATAAAATAAAATGTATTAAATACATATATTTATAAAGTAATAAGTAGATCCTTATTTTAATTGCAAACGGACTAAATATTAGGGGATTGTATTGTAAGTTTTAAAAGTTGAAGGACCTAAATGAAAGGTTTAGAAAAGTTCAATGACCATTACTATACTTTACCCATATTTTAATTTATACAACTACATTTCAACAGAAACTTTTACGCAAATTATTGAGTGTGCCATGAAATATATGACATCAATAACCATAACTTATCTTAAATTAGCTAATGAACAATTAAAAAAAAGCATTATCACGAATTATCTGACGTAAAATAAATAAATAATTATCCTTATTTAATTTCCAATAATCACATTATATGTTAATTATATGTGGAATTGAGATAAATCAAAGTTTAACTTCATTTTATTTATTTATTTATCATATTCAAACTTTTATTTAAATAATGTTAATTTTTTTCTCAAAATCTGATAAAAATAACTATTTTTGACATACGAATAATTATGTCAGTAAAAAATTACAAGATGAAAGTAAGTAGGGAAAAGGCGACGATTAATCAAACTTTGAGGGGCTTGCAAAGGAACATTAGAGACGACCGTGAGGATTCCATCGGGACCTTGCCTCCGTTACTATTAATTCTGTTAACGCCGCCGAGTCTATCGTAGCAATCAACGCAGAACAAAGACAAGGAGAGCTGGAATCCGTCGCGAGTCCAAGAAGAAGCCCCCCCCGAGTCGGCTCAACACTGGCCTCGCACAAGCCATGTAGAGGCGTTTGTAGCCACCCAGCGCAGCGACGACAGAGCGCACGCTGGAAGGTGGAGGAGAAACGTGGCGGAAGCAGAGGTGCTCCCAGAGGGAGTCGTTGCGAGCGACGCTGCACCAGAGGCTGCAGACGCAGGCGGCGACGCCGAGGGAACGGCCGTCGAGGCGTTTGAGGATTCCGACAACGATGTCTTGGTGGTCGTTGATGAAGAAGACGGGTCTCTTCTTTTCGTTGCTCTCTTGGTACTGCTACACCATGGCTAAAGCTTGAGGGGAAAAGGAAAGAGAAACAGTGGTGGTTTATACATGCAGTGGAGAATTTGCTACTTTAAAACATTATATTATTGATTTAGTATTTAAATTTTCATTTCTTATTCTTAGTATTATAAATACTTTTAAATATTTTAAAATTTAAATTTTAATATATATTTTTTAAAATATTATTATTATTTTTAAAAAATTTTAAAAAAATTTATATGCTTTTTAAAAAGTTAATCTCACATAATCATTCGTACGTAAACAATGATAGTAACAAACCAAACGTTAACGTAAACACGATAATAATTAAAGACAAAATCAATAATTAAAAGTAGGGTAAAGTATAGTAATGGTCACTCACTTTTCTAAATATTTCATTTAGGTTTTCAAACTTTTAAAACTTGCAATTTAATCCCCTAATATTTAGTCCGTTTTGCAATATGATCACTCAATATTTAATCCGTTTGCAATATGGTCTCCGACGTAACTGTTGGGGACCATATTGCAAATGGACTAAATGTTAGGGGACTATATTGCAAGTTTTAAAAATTAAAAGACCTAAATAAAAGTTTTAAAAAAATTCAGTGACTATTACTTTATTTTATCCTATTTTTTATTATCAAATACTCCATCCATCCCATAATCTGTGTCTTATATTGATTATGTACATGGTTTTATGATATATATTTGACTAAGTGAAATCATAAAACTATCATTAAAAGTTGATTAATAGAATTGACTTATTTATTTTGATAGGTGTAAGAGAGTGAGACATATAAAAGTAAAAAGGGAAATATAAGTTTTTTTTTTTTTTTTGGTTTTTTCAATAGTATATTTTAAATGGTATAATTTTAAAAATAAATTATTTAAAATGTTAATTTTAAACAAATATCAAATAGCTCCTAAATTTTTAAATATCAAATACATGTGCATTGGAATCGTTTTTACTATTTTTATGATAATCATCTTATTTTGATGTATGAACACAAGGGAAAGGGAGAGGCTGATGCACTTGTACAATTCCAAAGACGCAATGATCCAAGATTTTGCCACATGTACGGTTGACATTCACCCATCCTCACTTGAATTCCACTATAAATACCGATCGACATTTATCATCCAAACACACCCTTGACTTTTGAGCTTGCTTTTGTGTTTTGATTTCTTAGAAATTTTCTTGCTCTTTCCTTCACTTTCTCCAGAAAACAAAATGTCTTCAGGGTGCAATTGCGGCTCTAGCTGCAGCTGCGGTGACAACTGCTCGTAAGTTATTTTCGATTCTTGCTTTTTGTTATACATAGATATGAATTTCAGTATAATAATTAGGATCCTAAATGAATCGAATTTGAACGATAGGCTTTTTGATATTGCAGATGCAGCAGGAACCTTAACCTAGGATTCTCAGAGAAGCCGATTAGTACCGACATCATCATCTCCGGGGTTGCGCCAGTGAAGATGTTTGTTTCGAACTTAAAACTTCAAAAAAATTATTAAAAGCATAGCAAATGTTTGGTTTTGATGTTTTATTAATGATTTACTTATTGCAGGAACTTCCAAGTGTCGGGGATGAGCACTGAATCAGGACACGGATGCAAGTGTGGATCAAACTGCACTTGCGATCCATGCAACTGTTAGCCATGGAGGCATGCATATATAAAAGCAGCAAGACAGGGTCTGCAATAATATTTAAGATTTTCAAGGATGGATCGAGGGTCTATGGTCATATGTGTTTCGTGTCTTGTCTAATAGAAGGTTGTCGTGTAATAATACAGCCATGATTTCTTGCAATTCCCTTCTTCCAAGGATTTTGCTATTGATTTGGTGATCTGTTGTTAAATCCTATAAAATAGTGGCTGTTGCTGCTATTCCTTGTATTATCCCTTTTAAATAAAAAATAATAAATTTAAAATGAATCGAATTTATATTGTTTAATTCAGCCTGAATTATGAAGAAAAAAAAATCTATTTTCGTAACAAGTAATTTAGTCAATCTAAGAAACAATAAGTAAGTTTGGTGACATGAATAGTTTTGATTGACCATTTTAAGTTTATTAAATATATTCAGAAAAATATTTAAGAGAAATAAAAAGTTATAATAACATATTTTTTGGAGTAGCTAATAATTATAGTTTTTTTTTAAGATTAAGCGATTGGCTACTGGTTTTGCATGTATCAAATTTTCTGTCTGAAATCTATATCTATTGCCCTTCCATTAATTTATGTTTTTATTTTTTTCTTTTATGTTTGATTTTTTATATTTATTAATTTAAAATTATGTTTGTTTTTAAGGGGCGCATTTCAAAAGTCGCAATTGAATTTGAATTAATTATAATGTGACATGTTTAACAAATAATCATACTTTAAAATTATGTGATATATTGCCTCATCGTAATTTGTGGGTCTAATTTAATTGAGTGTGATTAAATGCTTTTAATTATTTTCTTTTAACTTTTAGGAGAACGAATGCATCACTCATTATCAAATATAAAAGTTAAATATATTATGCGAGTTAAAAATATTTAAGTAATCAGAATTTTATGTGATTATCATGAAGCTTTTAAGTTATACCACGATGGTGTAATACCTCTTAAATTCTTTTTGACAAGATAGAACTCCCTAATTTTATTTAAAAATATAAAATATTCAAATTACAGTAAAATTTTATAATCATAATAAGAATAATAGAACTTCCTAATTTAATTTAAAAATATAAAATATTCAAATTACAGTAAAAGTTTATAATCATAATAATAAACTAAACACATCATAATAATATTTTTTATAATTATTAATACTAGAAATTAGTCACTTAAGATAACTCAAGGATCATACAAGAAAAATATTAAAAAATAAAACTAAATAAACTCGAATAAATATTAGATACGAACAAATCTGATTACATTGACAAACAAATCATAAAAAGAGATCAATCTATTAAAAAACCACCGAAAAATTACAAGTTAGAATAAAACGACGTGAGAAAACTATTCACGAACGCAAATACATCAAAATCCAATATAAAGATCCATAACAGTGAAGATCAACAACACGATAACAAATAAATGTCACATTGATTAGTCATGAAGATACTAAATCCAACCCTGAAAAAAAAGGATAAATGAAAATAACGACCAAACGATTGAAAACAAGCCAAAATATAGGAAAAAATACATCATAAAGACAGAGAAAAATGTGACATAAATGTATAGTTATTAAAAATTTAAAATAAGAAGAAAAAAAACCAAAAGATACAATATAATAAAATTAAATAAAACAATAAATATCGTTCTTTGGTGAGTAACATTAAAGTTGATGTTATCGCTCGTCTTAAGATAAATAAGAAAGAACACAAAACACCGAATGCATAATAGCTTTTGGAGACTCTAGATAAATTGACGAAACAAGCTAGAAATTATCTGATTTCAGCGCGAATATGTAGTTTAAGTCTGCTTGGAATTCTCAGGAATTCAAAGAAAATGAAGTTTATGAATGTTTGGTCAGGTTATTCTTTAGAAAACTAACAATGTAAAATCAACTTGTAACGGAAAGGCATCTTTTGAATCAAGAGAGGCAGAAAATCCCGAAAGAGAATTCGAAAACATTTAAAGAATTCCATGCAGACTTAAACTCATGAAACACGCTGAAATCTAATGATTTTTCGTTTAGTTTGTCATTTTTCTCTCTAGAGTCTTAGAAAGCTGTTCCACGATCAATGTTGTGTGTTCTTTCTTCCGTTGAAGAAAGATCAAAGAATCGGTTGGTTCCAAGTCTTTTCCCAACAAAAGCTTCTAGTTATTTTTTACCGTCTCCAGAAAATGGAGTCGGTGGAGGAACTGCTCCTGCTTCCTTTGTACCTTCAATATTATCTCCTATCGACCTTAAAGAATGTGACTTCCTAAAGAACGACGTGAGAAAGCTGTCCATGAATACAAATGTATCCAAACTCAATCCGAAGATTCATAGTAGAGAAAATCAGTACGATAATAAATAAGGGTCACCTTAATTAGTCGTGGCAATATTAAATCCAACTCTGAGAAAAAAGATAAAAAAGATAACGACCAAACGATTGAAAATAAGTCAAAAGACATTGTATCATAAAAATAGAGGAAAACTTGACATAAATGCATGGTTATTAAAAATTAAAAATAAGAAAAAAATATACAATATTATAAGATTAAATAAAACAATAAATATCGATCATTGATGACCAACATTTAGCTGATGCCGTCGGTCATAAAGATAAAGAATGCAAAACACCGAACGCATAACAACTTTTGGAGACTCTAGATAAAGTGATGAAGCGAGTGGAAAATCATCTGATTTCAGCGCGTTTGAGTAGTTTAAGTCTGCTTGGAATTCTCAGAAATTCAGAAAAGATGAAGTTTTTGAATGTTTGTTCAGGTTCTTTAGAAATTGACAACATAAAATCAGCTCATAATGAAGAGACATCTCTTGAATCAGGAGAGGCATCTCCCGTTGACCTGAAAGAATATGATTTCCTAAAGAAAAAAGAAAAAGAAAAAGAAAGCATAAGATATGAAAGAGTGGAACAAGTAACACTGACATTTAGAGAGACATAGAAATATACATTGGAGAGCTCTTCGTTCATGGTTTGGGAGAAGAAATAAAAATTGTGTGTTCGAGAGAATAGGGCGAGAGAATGACAGTTCTCAGCTATGTATTTATAAGTATGCCTAAAGGACAAGAGAAGAATATTACACGATGAAAGAACCATAAAGCATATCTTTAGTTAATGAAGCTTTCAAGATTCATTGCACCAAACAAAGAATAAAGTTGAATTAATTAATAAAACAAAGTGATTTGTGAATGTAAAATTAACTTGTTTAATTAAGTTTGACAAAGATCAAAGGCAATGAATATCATGACACCTTTGGCAGCTAACACTGATAACCATTTTGACTCCAAGTGACTTGATATTTCGACATTAGAAACGTCGGACCGCTTGTACTGATAATGGTATCATGTACAATATACAAGTTAATTTACTACTTCTTTGACCCATAATTCACACAATAAAATTCAAATAATTAGTGAGCATATTATATATAGTATCGTGTACCAATTAATTGGTCTAGAGGGATTAAGTACTGGACTTTTTAAATAAAGTTTGAAATTGAATCTTGTTATTGTGAATGTAAAATAGTAGGCTGAGAAAGTTGTCCACATAGTATACTTCTATAATATTTAATTCAAATGATTTGATCAACAAATCGAATATCGATAATTATACTAAGAAAACATGGATAAACTTTGAGATTTAAATCACACTAAATGTTGATGGATATTAATATGGTTAACTACTCTCCACTAATGTCTTTGTGAATCCATTGTATTATTAGTTCAAAAAACCTTAAATAGGAAACATCATTAAAATAAATAAACTATATGTAGATTTCCTTTTACTTGTTTGGGGAACAAAACTGTATTTGAAGTAAGCTCAGGTTTCGGTTCGAATTCAAACAAACCATCTTAAAACTCGGTGGTTCATAGTAACAATATTTCTAGAAAACAGAAAAGAAAAAAGTTTTATTTCACATTACTTAAACTGATCCTTTACACTAATATTTATAGTAGCTATTAACTCTAACTACCTCCTAACTAACTACCCGTTTACAAACTTGCACAACTTATACATTCCGTTAGCCCCCCTCAAGTTGGAGCATACAAATTTTGAATGCCCAACTTGAGAGTAGACCTCTAAAAAGTAAGCTGTAGGTAAAGCTTTGGTAAAACAATCAGCCAACTGATTATGAGATGAATCTAGCATTAATACGACGACTCCTTGTTGCAGCTTCTGCATATTAAGTGACAATCAATCTCTCTGTGTTTTGTACGTTCATGGTAGACAAGATTCTCTGAAAGATTGTCGCAATAGAGATCTGTTGGAACAAAAGGAATATGAAGATCATTAAGAAGGAACTGAAGCCACCGGATTTCACAAAAGCTCGATCCTCTGCTTCACTTGAGGAACGAGAAATGGTTTGTTGTTTCTTAGACTTCCAAGAAATAAAAGCAGAACCTAGAAAAACACAAAAATCAGTGACCTTCGAGAATCAGGATACGAAGCTCAATCAGAATCACTGAAAGCCTTAAATTTCGATCATTTCCTGCTGGGAAAAACAATCCTTGCCCTGGAGTTCCTTTCAAATAACGAAGAACCCTACGAGCTGCAGTCAAATGAGCTTCAGTAGGAAATGAAAAAAACTGAGAAAGCTGTTGCACAGCATAAGCAATGTCCGTCCTTGTATTTGTAAGATACTTACAATTTACCAACAAGTTTCCTATATCCAGTAATGTCAGAAAGAGGTTTACCTTCTGTTCTAGCAAGTTTACTATTTGTAACCATAGGAGTTGAAATAGGTTTAGAACCTAAAAAACATGTTTCCTGTAAATATTTCCTTTGACACAAATTAATTCTAGTTTTAGAGTGAGAAACTTCAAGTCCTAAGAAAAATTTTAAATCTCCCAGGTCTTTAATTTTGAACATATCATGCAAATAAGTTTTAACCCTACTAACCTCTTCCATATCTTCACTAGCAAGAATAATTTCATCTACATAAATGACTGAAGCAAGAAACTTAGAACCTGTTCCCTTAAAAAATAAAGAAGAATCAGAAGCAACTTGAGTAAAATTCTGAGTAAGCAAGGCATTAGTCAAATTTTCATTCTACTTCCTAATGGCATGCTTTAAGCCATACAAACTTTTGTTCAATTTACAAACAAGACTAGGTTTATTGGAATAAAAACCAAGAAGTAAGTCCATATACACTTCTTCTTGCAAGTTTCCCTGTAAAAAAGCATTATTAATATCCAATTGACATAATTTCCATTTCTTTGCTGTATCAACAGCCAAGAGAGTCCTAATAGTAGTAATCTTAGCAACAGGACTAAAAGTGTCAATAAATTCTATTCCAGATTTTTGAGTATATCCTTTTGCAAGCAACCTAGCTTTATACCTTTTTAGAGTACCATCAGATTTAATTTTTGTTTTGTACACCCATTTACAACCTATAGTCTGTTTACCTTCAGGAAGTTTAACTAAGTCCCAAGTATTATTAGCTTCTAGAGCTTTAATTTCAGCATTCATGAATCACAACTTGATGATAGTTTTTAGGTTCATCAAGAATTGAATCACTAAACATATGATCTATGCTTATAAGATAAATTGTCATAAGACACTACCCAAGCCAAGATGTGAGAGGAAGTCCTAGCTTTAGGCATGGAAACTTCAAAGTCCTTATACCTTTGTGGTAAATTAACACTTCTAGACGGTCGGATTGAACGAGAAGGTAGAATCCTCGGAGCTACTGGTGATGAATCTGTAGGCATGCCAGCAACATTGTTGTGATCCCCATTAGTGAAAGGATTTGTAAAAGATCTTGCTGTAGGTGTATTAGTTGAAGAGGAATTTGTTACAGGTACACCTGCAGCAGACATGTTTCTCAACAAAAAATCATTATGATATGCTGGCAGAACAATATCAGAAGAATAAAAACACTGTATTTTCTTTAAAAGGGAACTTATCTTCAGTAAAAAAACATCTCTTGAAACAAAAACAAATTTGCTGTCTAGGTCATATAACCTGTATCTTTTTATATTTTCAGGTAAACCAAGAAAAACACATTTAATAGCTCTAGGATGCATTTTTGTTCTAGCTTTAGGTAAGACATGCAAAAGCTAAACATCCAAACACCTTAAGCTGGTTCAAAATCCGTTTTTTATTTAAGACTTCAAAAGGAGTCAAATTATCTAACACTGGTGTAGGTGTAATATTAATAAGAAATACATAATGTAAGATTCAATCCATCCAAAAAAATAAGAAGAAGATTAGAATGATTTCTTAATGCCCTTGGAACAGATAGAATATGCTGATGCTTCCTTTCAACTACGCTATTTTGCTGTGGTATGTGTGTACAATAATTTTGATGCACAATACCCTTCTCCTTAAATAAATCTACTTGATCAAATTCCTTAGCATTATCAGTTCTAAAAAAATTAATTCTAACAGAAAACTGAGTTTCTACCAAATTATAGAAATCAACTATTAACTTTCTTACCTCAAACTTTGCTTTCATAGTAAATATCCAAAAAATATACTTTTTTCATCTACAACAGTCAAAAAATAAGTATGACCATATATGTTTTTAACAGAAAGTGGTCCCCATACATCCATATGAACTAAGTCAAAACAAGAAGCGATAACAGTTTTGCTAATAGGAAAAGGAAGTCTCTTATGCTTAGCCAAGTGATGAGTCTCACATTCAAAAACAGAATCAATAGAAACATCATTGTCCAACTGAGAAAAAAATTTCATTCACTGCTTAGCAGGATGTCCTAGCCTATTATGCCAAAGATCTAAATTCAAGTTTTTACAACTAGAAACAGAAGAATATTGAGTAGCACATGTTTCTAACTCATAGAGGCCATCAAGCAGCTTAGCTATACAAATCATCTTTCAAGGATTCAAACCCTGCATAACACAAGAATCAAAGGAAAAAAAATTAAACAACAATAATCATCCCTTGTAAGCTGAGAAGTAGAAATCAAATTAAAAGTAAAGCCAGGTATGTAAAACACCTTTTTTGAGAACTAAACTTGAAGAGATTTTAACCGTTTTTATGTGTGTACCTTTAGCTAACTGGTTATTAGGAAGTTTAACAAACTTATCATTAACAGGATAAGCATCTTGAAAATAATGAAATGAATTGACAATGTGATCTGTAGCTCCTGAGTCTACAATCCATTTATCCTTAGAAATCTGACCAGAACAAGCAAAAACCATACCTGATTCATGATGCTGAAGTTGCATCAAAGACTGATGAAATAGCATTGATTTGAGATGCTAAATTCTGTGTAGCCTCTCTTTCTTGCAGTAAAGACATCAAGCTATTGTATTGCTCCTTAGTAAAAGAAAAAGATCCATTCCTTGTATCTAAAAAAAATTAGAGGCTATAGGTTCTTGACTATCAGAAGTAATAACCTGACTTGCTTTGCTGGTCTGTCCTCTATTAGAACTCTTATAACCAGGTGGAAAACCATGTTTACGATATCATTTATCTATGGAATGTCCATAGATACCACAATATGTACAGGTGGGTTTTTCACCAGCATTAAAAAATTTCTTCAAATTATGACCACTCCCTGAATCATCAAGCTGATTATTCTTATTTCCATGCATATATCTCCCAGCAAGCAAGATTTTAGACTCACTGACAGAGATAGAAACACTAACAGACCACTCATGCTGAACAACAAATTATGACCACCCCCTGAATCATCAAGCTGATTATTCTTATTTCCATGCATATATCTCCCAGCAAGCAAGATGTTGGACTCACTGACAGAGATAGAAACACTAACAGACCTCTCATGCTGAACAACAATAGCAAAGATTTCATTATTAGATCGCATGGGTTTTAGACTCACTGACAGAGATAGAAACACTAACAGACCACTCATGCTGAACAACAAATTATGACCACCCCCTGAATCATCAAGCTGATTATTCTTATTTCCATGCATATATCTCCCAGCAAGCAAGATGTTGGACTCACTGACAGAGATAGAAACACTAACAGACCTCTCATGCTGAACAACAATAGCAAAGATTTCATTATTAGATCGCATGGGTTTCATCATCAGAATTTAAGATTTTTGAACAGAAAAACTATCATTCAAGCTTTTCAGAAACTTACGAATAAAATCTTGTGTCCTATATTCTTTCGCAGAACAATTGCACGCATTCAGGGGTCTTAGATTACACATCTCGTCCCAAACTATCTTCAATTAAGTATAGTAAGCAGTTACTGTAAGCATACCTTACTGTGAATCAAAGTTTCTCATCAAATCCCCTAGAGAGAATCTGTCGAAAAGATCTGCCCAAAGATCGTACGCATAATCGATCCACATCACACTTTGCCCAATTTCAGAACTTAGGGTTCGCTGCAACCAAGAAGAACAAGGTTGTTACACTTTAACCACGCGCGATATTTGGGATCAGCTTCGTTTGGTGCTTTGATCGACCCATCGACGAAGTCAAGCTGTTCTTGGAGATTAGGGATATGCGCATCGATCTCGCCCAACTATGGTAATTGCTTCCAGTCAACCAGGCGGAAGTTAGAACAAGCGATGGATTTTCATTGGGATGAATGTAATACTCGCTGCTCGGATCATCGTTCTTGAAAAGCTGACTCGGATCCTCTCAATTCGATCGAATCCTCTCAATTCGAGGATGCAATATTCTCTGATACCATAACAAGATTTGTAGAAAACAGAAAAGAAAAAAGTTTTATTTCACATTACTTAAACTGATCCTTTACACTAATATTTATAGTAGCTATTAACTCAACTACCTCCTAACTAACACCCGTTTACAAACTTGCACAACCTATACATTCTGTTACAGAGGGCCTAACCAGAATTCAAACTATAGATAAAAAGAATGCAAATAAGTTGAGGTTAAAGTAAAAGAAACAGGCTGATAAGCACATTATGCATCTGTCGACCTCTTGTTTTCTTGGGTTAACCACATGTTTCTTTTTCCTTTCAGCCAGAATGGGAAGCGCCATATCTACAACAATGAAACCTCTTTCACCATGACATTTCTGGTTTTTCCCAAGCATCAAGATTGAGGTGTATGCAATGAGATTTTGAAGTTGCTCCCACCACTACCTTCCCATTCCCCCCCCCCCCCAACACACAAAAAATGACAAAAGCCAACACTGCATGCTTGATTCCCAAGACCCAGTCTAACCACAGGCTGCAATAACACTATAGCATTAAATCAATCTGTATATCTTAAATAAAGTTAATTCTACAGCATGTAAAACATACTAGGGAAGACATATCCGTATTTGACACTCACACCCAAGTCCAAGTTCAGCACATCCATGCATTTAAAGAACCAAACTAGAACTAGTTTTTTTTTTTAAGAAAATCATGTCTAAGACAGGATATAGAGAACATAAAAATCACCATGGAGCTCCACTTGAGAGCACCACCCACCTACAAGTCCAAATTCAATTTTAATATGAGACCCAACTATTTTAAAGGGAAATAAAGTTACTTTTTGTTGATTTTTTAATAGGATATTTTAAATGGAACGATTTTAAAAATCAAAATACTCACATTTAATGAGACAATGGTGTACATATATTTTTAAAAAAATTATTAAAAGTAGTTTTTTGAATATACAAGGAAGAGCAAGGCTCTTAATTAATTCTCATGCAACGCCCATCTAATTGAACCAAGGTTGAAACCACTGCTGGAACCTCTGAAAACTTGTAGAAGTTTCCATCCGTGCTCCACACCATACGTGCCAAGCCATCAGCAACCCGATTACACTCTCACGGAATATGCTTTATTTGAACTCGCCAATCTCTTCGAACAAGATCATGAACGTGAGGCACCAGCGACGAAAATTCCATCGACCTTACTATTCCCTTGAAGCACAGCAACTGCCTCCATACAGTCCGACTCAACAATAACCTGGCGAAAGCCGCTCTCCCACGCGATAGATAAACCAGAAAAGACGCCCCAAAGCTACGCATCGACCACTGAACAAACCCCAATCTTCTGCGAAAACCCCGTAATCCAAGCAGTATCCGGATTTTGGAAGACACCTCCACAGGTAGCCAAACCCGAATCACTCCTCCGTCCTCCGTCAGTGTTTAATTTCACCCACCCGGATGGAGGAGCACTCCAGCAAACTTCTCGGTTGACAGCACCTCCCTGCTCTAGTTGCTTCAATAACCTGCTCTGAATCACGCGAACCACTTCCTCCTTCAAACGGGTACTTCGCTGAACGATCCCTTCAGTAACGGAACGGTCCTTAATAAAGATAATTAGATTCCGCCGATTCCTGGTGCACCACGTTATCAGTCCGAAATGAATATCCCAATCTTCCTCCATCAGCGGGAAGTAAGCAGGTTGGCGGAGATTTTTATCCACCCAAGCAGTCAGTTCCATTCACATAAATTCCTCCAGCCGGTTCGGCTTTATCAACACCCTCCACGACGCTGAAACAATCAAACACTCCTTCAGAAAATGGGAGCTACTTTCAACAGCAGCACCGCATAGAGGACAACTTGCGTCCGACGTGAGATGCCGGCGAGCTCTTTCCTCATTTGATAAAATTTGCCCTTTACATATGGTCCACAATAACATCTTAGCTCGAGGTAATCCCCGATAAGTATTAATAATATTCCATGATGCCGTCGCTTTCAGCATTACTTTCCCGTACTCGTTCTTTATAAGCTGGGGCTACCGAAAACCGACGCCTTGCATCAAATTTCCAACCGACCGTATCTGATCCTACATGGGATAGAGGAGGACGCACTGCTGCCAGGGAAAGCCGAACTACATCCGTAACATGGTTCCCAAATCTTGACCAATCCCACTCCCCTACCAAGTCAATCATCGAACTAACATGGGTGCCCTTAGGTGGAAGATCATCTTGAGGGCTGTCATGATTGATTAACAGGCCAAAATCGCCAAGCCAGGAATCATACCAAAAATCAATCGTGGAACCATCCCGAAGGATCCACACTACACTCTCCCTAAAATTATTCCAGATTATCGATATGCCTCTCCATAGCCGTGAATAACAACGCCTATCAACTGTTTCAGGGAGCGATTCATGAATCTTGTATTTAGCTACTAGAATCCGAGCCCACAGCTGGTTCGCATCTGTTACCAAGCCAAATGCCAATTTAATTAGGAACGCTTCACCGTTTGCTTGAACCTTTTTTTAACTCCTATACCACCCGAATTTGCCGATTTATTGAAAAATTCATCTTTGGTAGGTGGTCAACTTTGCATATGAGAATTTCATCTTTAGTCCTTAAAATATTAAGTTGTTTATAAGTTTAGTCCTTAAAACTCAACTATAAATAGGCCTAAGTATTTCATTAAAAATCATCCCAAAAACAAGTTCTCTCTTCCTCTTGTTTTCTTCATTCTCTCACTTTGGGAATTCTAAATAATTCTATTTGTTGTAATATTTGTTGATAGTGAAGTTATCATCCGGTGTGGTGCCCGAGGAGTAGACGATATTCTCGTTGAACCTCGTAAATTTGGTGTGTTCTCTCCTTTATTGTTCTTTATTCAATTTTTCCATTGTGTTTCAGTATTCAATAGTTTGACGGGTTTATCCGCTATGCAACCTTTGGTGGTTTTGATCTTGACATTTTAGGTCAATTTTAAAACTACATTCATGTGAGAAATAACCCAGTTTCCCCAACAATTGGCATCAGAGCTTCGATTGAGGTTATACTCATGGTCCTATTGTTGAAAAGATACAATTCGTGCTATTGAATATTGTTTGTTAGAATTAAAATGGCAAATACGATCAGTTGAGACATCAAGCTCTTCATCTGGACCGGTGAGGAGGATGATGTCAAATGCAAATTTCTTGGTGGAGTTGTTCGATGAATCCGATCATTTTGGCATATGGCAAGGCGAGGTGTTAGAAGCTTTATTCCAACAAGGTCTAGACATTGCCATTGAGGAACAAAAACCCGAATATATGGACGAGAAAGAATGGGGAACAATCAATCATTTGGCGTGCAACATGATTCGATCTTGTCTTTCCAGGAACAGAAGTATGGCTACAAGAACGAGACTTATGCAAGTAAGATGTGGAAAGCATTGGAGGAAAATTCCTAAAGAAAAGCTCTCAGAATTTTCTCCACATTAAGAAAATATTGTTCAGATTTGATTATCAACCAGACACCAGTATGAATGAAAACATCACTGCGTTTAATGAGCTAGTGGCAGACTTATTAGGCATGGATGAAACATTCAAAGATGAAGATTTGGCTTTGATGTTGTTGTCATCTCTTCCAGATGAATCTGAGCACCTTTAGACAACGTTACTTCATGGTAAGGATAATGTTACCCTTAAAGATGTAACTGTTGCTTTGTATAGTTATGAGTTTAGAAAGAAAACCAAGAAGGAGAGCAAGTATGAAGAAGCGGAGGCCATTGTGTCAAGAGATTGCTCGAAAAGTCAAAATCCAAAGTGGAGAAGGATATCGAAGTCGAAGTCCAGACTGGGAAAAGATAAATGTGTTTTTTTCATGAGAAAGACCATTGGAAGAAAGATTGTCTGAAGCTAAAGAAGAAAGGAAAAGCTGCTTCAGATGCATGTGTTGCAAAGCATGATGTAAATGACTTTGACATATCATTGGTTGCTTCATCAAAAACATTCCATTCAGATGAATGAATATTAGATTCGGGTTGTACCTATCATATGTCCCCTAATCGGAAGTGGTTCTCCGATTTAGTAGAACTAAATGCATAAGTTGTTTATATGGGCAATGATAATGCTTGTAAAAATGTTGGGATAGGTTCAATTCGATTGAAGCATCAAGATGGATCAACCAGAGTTCTAATCGATGTC